TCAAGCAGGCTCCACACTCAGCAAGAAGTCCCATGTGGGGTTCAATCCCACAATACTAGGAGTGTAAGGGTTAAATTGTAGTGTAGGGCTAACGCTTAGCTTGAAAGATAACAACTTTGTTCTGACACTAAAGATCAAAAGATAACAGCCTTGCTTTTACTCTTGTAAATCATACTTCATACTCTTGTGAATCAGGCTTTACCAACGAAGGAAACAAAAGCTCAAAAAAAGAGCATCAGAGACAAGGTCAAGGAGATCCACTGGTTGCAACTTAGCAGCAGAAAGTCTAAAATAATCACCTCATTCAATAACTGTTTCAGACTCATCTGGCAACTGTTTCTAACTCATCTGGGAACTGTTTCTTTGTTCTGTTCCCAGATAATGATAAAACGATGTGATCGGCTTTAAAAACTCTGTACCCCGGCTGTTCGGGGCCATGCTCTTATCAAGAGTGTTGGTCCCAATCGGTCACTGGTGCCCGTAGCATTCTGTTTCAGGAGTCGTGTGGATGCAACAGGATCATGACCTGAGCCAAAATCAGGAGTCAGAGGCTTAACTGACTGAGCTACCCAGGCACCCCATGTAATGCTTTATTTCTTAAACTGGGGGATAACCACCTCTTTTCCTTAAATTAGCATTTACGTATATATGTAACAACTGGTGTATATATATATATAATATTTTATATTAAATAGTTTAAAATGTACATCAAGTGAGATGGAGATGGTATGATATTCCTGTAGATACCAAAGACCCTCCCTAATTAGTTTTGTGAGGTTTGGGGTTGGAGGCACAGAAGATCCATGAGGAGGGATCCTGGAGCTACACAAACTGCCTGGCTCCTTCTCAACATGCCTATCTCTGTCTAAATATCTCTTCCTTGAGAAGCCTTCCTTGACACCTATTTTAAAGCAGTACATCCCCTCCACTTTCTAACACACTCCACTATGTTATTGCAACGGGCTTATCACTCTAGGCTGTTTTGTATTATTTTACTCAGCAATTGTCTGTCTCCCTCCACTAGAATGCTCTATCTTGTTCAACACTATATTCCCAAAGCTTTTTCAAATCTTCCGGGTTTTTTGTTTTGTTTCGTTTTGGTTTTGTTTGTTTTTGTTTTTGGGATGGATAGATGAATAGATGGATGGATGGATGAATGAGTGGATGGATGGATGGATGGATGGGTGGGTGGGTGGATGGATGGAGACCGTTCCTCCATTACTCATGACTCCTCTTTTTAGCCGGCCTGGAGGGCAGAGGTAGAATGAGAAAAGACTGAGGAGGGGAGGGAAGATTGGAGTGGGTTGAAGAGAGGGCTTATGAAGATTGGATTAGAGGAATTGAGGAAAAATGCCCAGGCTGAGTTTTCCGAGCTTGAAGAGCTGAGGGCTGGGGCTCCTGGGTGGCTCAGGCGGTTGAGTGTCTGACTTGGGTTCAAGTCGTGGTCTCATGGTTTGTGAGTTCAAGCCCCGCGTTGGGCTCTGCACTG